ATTCAAAAAATATTTGGGTATGAAAATAAGGTTGAGTCTATGGATGCAACATGTGAGGCAATTCATTACAGTAACTCAGCAACCTCCTGGTGGCCATACATATAAATACACACCATTGCTGAAAAACAACACGATCACTGGCATTAACCCAATAGGTGACCTGTGTAGAATTAAATTAAAATACTGATATACAGCACATTGGATTTACCACGTGTTTTATCTGTGAAAACGTGCTCATGCAGTTTTATACTCACATGGGAACAAGATACTGTATTTCCTGTATTTCCTGTAATTGGAGAGGCCACATAAGGAGTGAAGAAGGTTTTGATTTGAAGAATCTAGGGGAGGAGCAATGGTGTTCCAGAGTAACCTCTGATTTAATCTCAGCTCCATTGAAAGTTTCTGTCAATGCTGAAAGTCCCCTCACGCGTCTGCACTGTACATCTTTTATTGCACACCTGACGCTTGGACCGCAGCATGCAGCAACCAGGCCGGCTGAGGCTGAGGCCGTGGCTGGAGGAGCAGATTCATTCTGGGAGATATCCAGGGGTCAGCTGGCTGGACAAGGTAGACTCCTGCATCTCACCTTCAAAGCCCCACACACCAACACACAGCACCACACACCAGCACACAGAACCACACACTAACACACAAACACACACACACACCTGGAGATCTACATTGATATACTGTACAACTAAGATTGAGACAGAAAACAAATCTGGCAACAATAAGACCTGATCGATGTTTTTACTCTTTATTCTGCAGTCAGCACAAATCTTCCAAATCCCATGGACACACGCTGCTCGTCATGGCTGGAGTATTGACCGAGATGCTACTCTCTTCAGGAGTTGGGCCATGCACACTGGTAGAACCCCTCAACTGCACTTTCATCACACAGTTTTTTTTATTGACTCCTCTGCTTCAATCAAGTGTACTTTAGCTCCTTATAATTCTCATCTCTATAGTCACAAACTAATAGGACTGCTGGGATTGTAACCTCAGCACTGCATAGGGCAATAGACTAAAAATTACTATTAGGCTGTTGATAATATTTATGATGTCAAATTATATAATAATGTTCCAAATCAGTGTTGAGTGTCTTTAACTGTATTCCATTGCAATGCATTTAATTAGAAACTTAAACAACTTTTCTTTTAGTTTATATGTGTAAGTGTTTTTTACACCTTTATATGCAGTATAGAACAATTAAACAAACCGTTTATCATACACTGAGACCTCACACTTTTACTTAATGATTTAATTAAAGAAAAAAATTGTCCTCAGTAAAACGCAATTTTTGACCTGCTTACTCTCAGATATGTTTGCAGTATAGAGCAAACATGGTTGTTTTGTTTAGTCCACATCTTTCTAGATCTACCACATTCCTAGCATCATCCTACTTTGCAGCAAGATGATCCAGTTCATTTAACTGGCATCTTCTCTTGATGTTCAGGACACTTTAAAAGTAATCTCTGATTAGCTATTTATAGAAGCCAGATAAAAACAACTTCTTTGGATTACTTTGTGTACATAATCCAATAATGATTTAAATTAACTTCATAGAATCTAATGTGAAGTGTTTTTGTTTGATCAACTCATCAACAGATGTTTTTGCTTTACAATGGGTTCTGAGCATAGACGCCACACACACACACACACGTGCGCGCACACGCACGCGCACACGCACGCACACACACACACACACACACACACACACACACACACATCTGTCTTGGGAAAGTCATGGTTTGTGACTTTAGCAGCATCACATCACATGGGAAAGTGCCACTTTACTTGCTGTGAATGTGCACAAGGATCATGTTGCGGACAAAGTTCAACAGCTCAATAATAATGATATCATCAGCAACATGAATAATACAATAATAATAAAACACAGAACATATAAGGATCATTAGTACAGTTTTTCAGAGGTGAAAATAGCTGCTGAGTAAAGTTTAAAATAGCTGCTATTACCTCTGCTCCTTGTTTGTGTTCTGTAAATGATCCAGTGGATCCTTTAAAGCTCAGCAGTAGATGAAGTCACTTGACTGTTCAGTTGATGATAAGTGGTTTGTCATGTTATTTGAGTCAAAGTTCTTACAGGGATGACTGAAGATAAAAACATATGATAAACCCTGACATCAATGTATTAACTCATATACCTGATGTTTATTTTATTTAGCTGTTTAATCAATGGATAGATAATTGTCATAAATAACATCTATGTCACAGACAGTGTTTAAGAGAAATATTCTCTGAGAAATCAATGAAAATGTTGCTAAATGCCCTATCTTGTAATGTTAAAGGAAAAACCCTGGTTTCACCCCTGATCCGGATCCTTTTCAAAGTTTAGGCAAGGCAAGTTTATTTGTGTCTCACATTGCAACAACTAGGCAATTCAAAGTGCTTTACATAAAATACAAAAGGCATCATGACAAATTGTAAAAGCAGCATAAGACAGAACAAGAAAAAGAAGCATTAAAGAAGTTACTAAAAAAGTAGAATAGAAATAAAGGATGAATAAATAAAATACCAAATAAGAGTGAAAATAACAGTGCAGTTTAATCACACACACACACACACACACACACACAGATTTAGGTCTCCATAACATTAGTAGTGCCTGGACTACACACATGCACACTTTTGGACCAGTGTTTGTCCCCATGCTTGTTTGCTTTAGGACGCTACCATCCAGGCAAAGACAAGCCAGATCCCAAGACATGGAAAGCAAATTTTCGCTGTGCGTTGAACTCTCTGCCTGACATCTTTGAGCTGCAGGAGCACAGCAGGAAGAGAGGCAGCAATGCCTACAGAGTCTACAGGATGCTGCCCAGCACACTGACACAGCGACGCAGGAGAGGTAGGACATGCACGTAAAATGTCTGCATTACTTCAAATTTGTCTCAGAGACCTCATGTGCTGTCCTGTTCACCTGCAGGGCTGCGGTCCAGCAGGCCCAGAGACAGACAGACCAGTTTAGGTGATGGTACACACACCGTGCACACTTGGCAACCCACAACAACAAGACTCAACTCAGACACATCACTGAGGGTTGAGACCCCTGCAGAGGACATATCCAGCAGCTCTCAAACTCACGGTGAGGTTTGTTGTTGTGGATGTTGATTCTAAAAGATGTTGCCTAATAAAGATGATGGTTGTTATGTTGATGTGCAGGGATGTGGGAGGCTGAACCAGAGGAGCAGGAACAGACTGAGGCTGTGTTTAAGGTATCAGACACTTAACCTACTGACTAACAGCAGCAAGTTTTGTTTTTCTGAGCAAACATTGTGCAGTTCATCCTCTTGTGTCTACTATAGCTGATGGACCATTTGAGCAACGCTGACCTCTGGAACCAAAGTGGGGAACAGAGAAAATGGAGAACACACACACTGTGGGACCACTGGCACTGTAGGGGACTATATAAATATACATACATATAAGCATATGCATATACTATATATATATGTATACACATACACATATACATATAGAATACTGGATTTTTTCCACTGCTAAATTTCGAGTACTTAGAATATCTAAAGTAATAAAGGCAAATTAACCAGTATGGTATAACTAGAATATTTGAATACAGTGATAAAGCAAGGTTACTGAACAAATATAAGGAACCTTGCATAATAGTCACAATATACAAACACAATATGTACCCAGACACAACTTTTGCACCTCTACATGGTTCTTGTAGACATCTAGAAGCTTCCTGCATCTGTCGGCTGGTAGTTTGTGCCACGTTGCACAAGCTCTCAGTCAGCAGGGGCCCTTTTATTGGCAGATTTGAGCTCTTTCCAATGGTTTTCAATAGGATTTAGGTCAGGGCTCATTGCAGGTCACTTTAAAACTGTCCATCTTTTCCTCTTCAGATATTATTTTGTGCTGCAGTGCTTTTTGTCAATATCCTGCTGAAAGTCTTCGGCCCTTTAAACCGGCCCATTTGTCACCACGCAACACATAACGTCAATATTACATTCTTTTACAATTATGCAAGTTAGGCATTTTGGTGACACGAAATATGTTCATCTGCATTTATCTCTTTAGATATTCTAAATGATGTAAATTAAATAAATGTAGCAAATGCTAAAGACAAAAATGTGGAATTGTGCGAGTATACAATGAATAAACAACAGAAGTGCAAGGTATATGTTTGTGTATTTGTGTGTGTGTGTGTCTGTGTGTGAGTAATCACGTAAAGTAGTAAATCTTTGTTACATTGGTGTTCAAATGCTGTTTTCTGCTCTGCAGGTGCTGGTGATGATAACTTGTACTCTCTGCACCAGGAGAACCACACTGATCTGTTCAGTCCAAATTACTTGAAGGAGCTCTCTGATTGGTCCACAACTCAGCAAACCCTGATGCCGTAGCTGTGGACCAGTGGTTCTCCTGTTGATTGAACTAATAACATACGTGTGTTGTTTCTTTTGGCTTCCTTGCTAACCTTCAGCTTTTTTCCTCCTGCTGTCTATCTGCTGAGCTGACCACTGAAAGAGAGAAACAGGAGAGGAGATGAGCGGACAGATATTTTTGCTTTGTCAGTCAGTCGGTCATTGTCTCTGCTGAGCACGCTGAGATGAGGATCCAGTTCCAAGCCAAGCTTTTACTGAGCGTCATCATCATCATCTTCACTGGGGTTCACGATGGTTCAGTGGCTCAAACTCACTGAAGTGACACCAAGCTCTCACCACAGCTCCCAGAGTAAACAGATATCATTTCAGTACAGGCCATAGCTCTACTCTGAGTGTGTTTAGACAGCAGGCAGTGAAATAAAGTACATGTAACTAGGATTGTGTGCTGAGTGGAGTTTAAAGCTGACGTATGTTTTCACTGTATACATAGTACGTGTGATTTCTCCATTAGATACTCGTCCTCATTTTTTATGTTCTCATATTTCCACGCAATATAAAGTTATTACCAACTTGATCTGCAATTTTAGAATCTGAAATGTTTTTGTATTTATTTCTATCCTATAAAGACATTATGGTAAGTGACAGCACAGTTCAGGAACATAAGTTGATAGAGATGCATCAACTCCCAGTTCATATGAAAAGTCTAGATCAGCCCAAGCCCATGGACGAACAAAGGAGGTTATGTGTGTGATTATAGGCTACTGTCAACTCTTTACTTAATACATGCGTCACATGCAAAGAAGCCAACATGTATTGTGACTGTTTTGTTTTGCCTACGTTGCTCTGTTTGAGTGTGCACGTGTGTGACACATTAGCAGCAGCAGAGGAGTAATACATGAACCTGTCAGGAGTGTTTAATAAGAGGTCTGACTCAACCTGTAAAGGCATTAAACAAATAGAGTTTACTTAACAATGACGTCATCCATGAAATTTAATATATTTGAAAGGTATTGTGTAGAATTTAGTGACATCTAGTGTTGAAATTGCATGTTGCAGCTGAATACCCCTCACCTCACCCTCCCCTTCCAAACATGACCTGTGGTAGCCTTCAGTTGTCATAACACCTCCAGAGGTTTGTCCAGTCTGGACCACTGTTAAAAACATGGCGGCCTCCGTAGAGAGGACCCCCTCGATGTAAATATAAAGTATTTAGAAAACAACAATTCTTACAATTTTAATGAAACATACTAGTGACAACATCACAAAGATAATTTTATATTCAATTTGTGCCAGTAGATCCCTTTCACCTAAATCTTACACACTGAACCTTTAAGTGATTGTGACAGGTTAATGGAGTTGATTATATATGAGGAAATGGTCTTTCATATTAGACTCTATACATATACAAATATATACTGAACGTTCAGTCTCCTAGTTTTTAACTCCCTGAAACCAAAAATACAAAACGTGTTTATAGCAGTACTTATACCTGTGCTGTCCATACTGTTTACAATGGCAGATATTTGGACTAATTACACTATCTGAAGTGTAGTGTCATTCCATGTACACTGGCATATCTGAATGTTATGCTGCCTTTAATTACCCCAGACTTTATTTTTTACTTCCTCTTCCATAATCCTCTCATGAAGCCTCAGACTTAACCAAAACTGACATCACCTCAACCAGCATCAGTAGTACCTAAAAGGCCAATTGGAGAGCACATGGCTCAGCAAAGGCTGATGCCCTCTCTCGTAATATCAAAGTAAGCTTAGTGAAATCCATGACGCGCCCTCTTAATGTAATCTGCACCAAAAGTCGACTTTTACTTTTGATACTTTGAAAACTATTTTGACCTGAGGGAGATTTTGTATGCAGTACTTTTACTTACAGTGGATTTATTTTCTTTGGTTTTAGTTAACTAAAATATCTTTACATTTCCTCCATCACTGGTCATCTACAGGAGTCCCTCCCTTTGTATTTTTTTCAAATTCTGCTTTTGAGCAGAATGAGCTCAGTCAGGGAAGTTTTACCTAAAGTGAAAACATGGAACACACAGTCGGTCAAACATCAACAGATAATATTTATTTGTCGTTTATTCTGAAAAAATGCAGTCAGATGAATTTCCCTCAAGGTGGGAGCTACATATCAGGCAGATCCTCAGGAAAAGAAAGGAATAATAACCTAAAATATGTACGACCCCAAATACAAATAAACCATCGATCCATTACGTTCATGTTACGTTTTTTACAACAGCATTATCATCGTCATAAAAGTCAAAATAAGTCCTGTGACAGGAATCCCAGAGGGAAAATCACATTCAAGCAGTCCACCAACACAGCCTGCTGGTCACAAATGTATATGGTCTGCAACACACAGCAGAATACCACAGCATTTAACCCAGAGCTGGAAACAAAAACACCTACTAGACTACACATACTTAGATCTGGTTCTACACAGGAATTACTACAGAAACATCGAAACTAAAACATAGATCTCTGTGGCAATGAATCACATCATTGAACGTGTCAGTGAATGTTGGGGAAAGTGGTTACCAGCAGTTTTAAGGCTGTAAATTATAAGATATTACAAATATACGTGAGGCGTTTCCAATATCTGTTAATTTCCGTTGCGTGGCACCAACAAAGATTTCATTCTTGTATCATGAATAGTTTACAATAGCACTCATTTTACAATCTACACAGACGTTTTGTTAGACGTAATAATACAATCACATTCTGTTGTTGAATCACAGGATGCACATGGTGGACAAACAATCACATGTAATAATAGATCCAGGCCTGCTGGTGAGCTCCATACCTCTGACCTCTCTGATTAATGATGTTTGAAAAATGGAGCCTGGATCAGAACTTTGGACGACAATACTATCGAGGAGGAAGGACGTAGCAGCCAGTCGATTAAAAGAGAACATTAACTCTAAGCTGAGCATTAGTATAACTGATGATCAACAGGCATGAAGAGCTGCAGGTATTTATTCCTCATAGAAGGTTTAAAAGATTTTATCTGCTTGAAAAAAAGAGGTTTGCACAGAAAAAAACCCAAAACAGATTGAACTGATGGTCCACTAGAAAGATTTTTTTTATATACATACATGTTTTAAAAGTTGTTGACAAAAATACTAGCATGAAAAGATTTTAACACTAACACAATGTGATTGCAAACACAAGCCGGGTCAGATTCAGGAGAACCAACATTCAGGTTATTAAAGAAACATAGAGACATTCAAATCTCAAGAGGGATAAAACATCTCTGCCACTCTAAAAAAAGATTTCAAGTGAAGAGAACCATGAAGTGATTAAATCTAACACAAATAACAAATGTTATGTTCAAGCAAAAAAGGATGATAATGATTGACACATAGTGGGTAAACGAACTGTATGAAACCTGACCCCAGTGGTGATTTGATTACATCTTAAGTCTATAAAAATATGAATCTGTTTGAAAGCACTAAGCTAGAAATGAAACTAGTAAAAAAAAATAATGAACATGACTTCAGAAGGCAGATTAGGAAGTTCATAGTTTATTAAAATTCTATATGGTTCAAATCTAGATGAATATAAAAAAAGAACAGTTGAAGTAAATGCAAAATTCCTAAGCAAGTGTGAGTGTACAATGTATGGTCCAGTGTACTCTACTCATTTCAAGTTTATTACAAAACAGCAATTTTCAACCCTGAAAGCAACTCAGAGAATCGTTGAGCATTTTCCAGAATAAAACAATGAACATATAACTCTTTGCTTTGCTACCTGCGACCTGTCCTTTGATAAACCTCTGAGAAGAAAGACAGAAACTGAATGTTCCACATCTCCAGCGTGGCCCAGCCACCATGAGGTCCGTTTACAAATCAGATAATAAATACAGGCATCCAAATGAGCTACAACAGCAAATATTTTTGAAAATAATTTTCCTCATGCATACACACAAGCATACATCTGACTGAGATTTATGAGCTTTCTAAACCCTCGTATCTACTCTTTAACAATTACTCTTTACAGTGCAACAGTATGGCAGCAAATGGATAGCAGTGCTTTCATTAAAACAAAAAGGAATGGAAAATAAAAATATATACAACATTATGGAAAAGCAGTAGTTTCATCTTTTGGTCCTGCATCCATCACAGACAGAACTGCTTATTGAAAACGCTTCCTCATATCAACAACAGTAGTTTCCACAAGACGGGTCGGCTGTGTGGGGACAAAAGGGGGACAAGTGTTAAGATATCAGACGCCGCAGATAGGTGCCGAGTACGTTTAGAAAACTATAGAAACATGGTGAAATGTCATGATTGACAGCTGAGACTGAGTCTCGATTGGTTGAACGCCTGTATCTGTAGGACGTCACTAATGTGGCTCCATCTGCTAATCACTGTGACGCAGACATTGGCTCCAACTGCACAAGATGGCAGCATTTTATCTGTGATATTTTGGTTTGAATTCTGGATAGTGGAAGGAATTAGAGATGCGGCGTCCGTCTTTACATACAATCTAATGTTTGCAGGATCATAAATTGGATCCGACATTCAATGGGATTTTTAAAACGAAGGCACGGTGCAACATCAACCATTAACCAGGTTCCTTCAGCCAATTAAAAGCCTCCGCCACTGCCCACAGCAGCCCAGTTTAAAAAAACAAAACAATTGAGACAGATATGTCAAAAGAAAAACAAAACAGGCTAATTCACTCATTGAGTGAGTGCTGAGCCACCGTTTGCAAGGAAAATGGAAGTTGTTATATCACCACCAAGCTAATCTAGTGGAGGACATAGTGTACATTCTTTCATGCAGGCAGGAATTCCCCCAAATAAAACATGACTATGTATAGTTAAAGCACAGATAGCTGCTGCACAGCACTTCACCAGCATGATTTACCATTATCGGTTATGACACAGCATGGGTGGAGTCTGGCTGGTTGACTGGAAGGTCTAGAAATATCAATATTTATCTTCTGACTCAGAAAAAGTGTCGGAGCCAGAGGCAAGAATTTCACAAAGCCTAACCTAACCCACCTAAATTACATGAGCGGTTATGATTTCTTATTAAAACGGTTGAGTGACCTAAATTAATGAATGAGAAACAGAAAAACTGTCTGTTCTTTGTAAATGATCGGGTTATTGTCACTGTTTACCCAGAATGCTGCACAGCTCTGTTAAAGGTTGCAGACAAAAGAATATTATATAGAACAAGCTCAGGCTTTTACAAGCCACAAACAGCTCTCAGCATGAAAACACACAACATGAGGAACTGAAAACTCTGTATCTGAATGTCAATAGGACAATGGGATGAAAACAGTGTCTCTCACCTCGTTACAACTGAGAACCTTCAGACCCTCCATGCACGTAGCCCCCTTTAGATTTCATCTGGGCCTGAACGAGATCAACCTACACACATCAAATATGAGTTAGGTGGACACTTGTGACTGCTGCTCTCTGTTAGTTACATTTTGTAAAGGGTGGATCAAAAAAACCTACCGATGCCAATCCTAGGCCCATGTCCCCCGAGCCTACGTGTGTGGTGTGAACAAAGTTTGTTGGCTCTCCGATCATGGACCGATCGATCCGTCGCCGTCGTTTCTGAAAATTAGTATGATTAACATTAAAGGTACAGTGTGTAGAATTTAGTGATATCTAGTGTTGAAATTGCATGTTGCAGCTGAACACCCCTCACCTCACCCTCTCCTTCCAAACATGAAAAATAAACTGTGATGGCCTTTAATTTTCAGTAAAAAAAGGTGTTTAGTTTGTCCAGTCTGGACTAATGTAAAAAACATGGCGGCCTCCTTAGAGAGGACCCCCTCGATGTAAATATAAAGTATTTCAATATAAAGGGCCTTTTCTGGGGTTAAGAAAACTACAGTTCATACAATTTAGATGAAACGAAAGAGTGAAAACATCATGAGGATTATTCTACATTAAATTTCTGCCAATAGATCCCTTACACCTACATCTTACACACTGGACCTTTAAATGTTATAAATATATATAATTATAATATTTTATTATTAGCAATATAAATAATCAGTTAAGGTATGTTAATATGAGTCACATGAGAAGCTGCTGACTTAGAGATGTGAGGCCTGTGCTGTAGACGTCAAACTAACGCCATTGTTCATTTTCATTTATCTTATCTGTTCATTGTAAGACTGGCTGACTACAAAGTGTTACAACAGCTGGTTGTTCACACACTGACAAACCTTTACTGAATCTAAATAAGTGTGGGATGTTTTCAGCTGGAGGTCCTGCCACTTGTGTATTTAATCTATCATGGAAAGAGAAATTATAAACTTTGTCAGATATGACACGACCATAGTATTTTTAAAGAACAGTGAAATGTCCAGTTAAAAGGAAGATCACAAAGATTTGAACACCAGAGGATCAACAGGCGTGTCAGAGAAAAACATTTCAGTGCACACATCAGGTTATTTTACAGGACACAGTGAGAGACCATCTAAAACAAATGGGGTTGGGTTTAACCCTAAATTCTGTATATTTGCATCAAGTTAGACCGTTAGTCTATGATGCCAAGATGCGATTATGAATGAAACATGACTCATTAAGTGATATCAATCTGTTTTGCAACCAACCTATTCAAGCTGGTCTTCCTTTGTGTCCTGTAAAACAATCTGATCTGAACACCAAGACTGGTGCAAGTGTGGAAGACAGTGTGCTGTAGTTGCAGGTCCAACAGCTACTTTTAAAAAACTGACAAAACCAGTTTGTCTTCCAAAGTTAATCAAAGTAATTTCATACTCACAGCCTGTGGCTGCTCTGCAATGCAGCAGCTGAAACAAACCCAGAACTCAGTCATTCTGAGGCCGACGAAGAAGCCGCAGCAGTTTCCTCTCTCAGTCCAGACGTCTCTCAGTCTCTCTTCCTGTTTGGTGTTACCAGAGCCCCAAACACTTGCAGGAAACAGATGACAGACGCACGCCACTGGTTTCTCTGGGGTTCACAGGCTGCACGAGAAAACTGTACTCCCAACACGGGGAACACACTCCTGTCAACATGTTGAAGTTATTAATCAAATGCTAACAAATTCAATCATATAAGCAATTATGATGGTGCCTGTGTTGACACTATTTAGTTCTGCGAAAAATAATCAAATATAATAATTTCCATTCCATCATGGTATAATCTCACTCAGTGTAAAAGCAGATATGTATGATTAAAAGTCAGGGTATTTTCATACTAAATATTTGAACTGTACTTTTGATTATAAGCATTGGCACTGATCAGGCAGTGTCAAGGCTTGAGCAATAAAACAATGACAATAAAAAGTGCAATATAAATTTCATCCATAGCTAAATAAAGGGTCAGTAGATAACAATATATAATTTATGAGTTGCACACAAAGGTAAAACAAACCATTGATCATTCTCTGATCATAAGTAAGAGTTTATAATTAACCTTCACTCAGGGGCTAAAATCAGTCTTTATACTTTGAAGAACTAATCGTGTGACCTTTATCGTGATAATTATCTATATCCAATGACATGAACATTTGTATTATTTCTGGCAGTAACGTCCAGTCCTATTTTCAGTATGCTGTTGTTCGCACTACAGCCTTGATCAGGTATCAATCAATTAATATCTTCCTAGAACTAATAGTCAAGAGGATCCTTCTTTTCACCGACAGAAGCAGAACAGAAACAGACACCTGAAATGTTACTACATGACCAGAGTGCTGCATTTAGAAGAACAAAGACACCTTCTATAAAACAAATCTATGTGTTGGGACTCGGACTGCCACAGGGAAGACACACACAGACTGTGTTTCACAGCTGGAACAATGCAGTCAGGCGGTAAGTGATGCAGTTGAAGTCACATGAGTCATTCCAAGAGAGTATGAATCCAACACCGGTGCGGCAGGACATTTCCGAAACGTGTCATCTGGGTGATTGTGATGTTGTATCTCAGCAGAAGCGGATGAGGATCGGTGAGGTGCTGTGACAGATGCAGGCTCTGCAGCTGTCATCGAGCTGTCACCGGGCTGCAGGTGGAACCAGGCGGCAGCAGCAGATCCCAGCTCCGCGTTGATGCAAATGACTGTGGAGATGCTGACGGGATCACCCTCTCTGATCTCAGATTTAAACGGACGTAATCGGTATTTACAAATAAATGCAGGTTACGTAACTTCGCACCGCTGCGGCAAACAACTCATCGGCTCGCACGCAAGAGTCAGAGCTACCGAGACAAAGCCAGGGAAAGGACGCGAGTGGGCTAACGAGGCGACACCCCGCGTCCCAGAGTTCATTCAAACTCGATGGCTGCGAAAGTGGAGCAGCGTCGTGCCTGCAGCGAGGCAGCGTTAGCATGATCGGCTACTAGCAGAGTTAGCTCGCAGGACAACGCTAACGCTCCGTGTTTTCCCCGTACTGACAGCTAGCTAACCAGGCTAACCGAGCCCGTTTCCGAGAGACTTGGCGTGACCGTTCGATCAAAAACGAAACATAAAACAAACACACGGTCTCACTCGGTGTTTACCAGCCGTACGATGAACACATTCTCTACAGTTGTATGGATTTCTCGGGGATGAACTTACCAGATTGCGACCGGTTCGCGGGAGCAGAAAACAGGAGCGTACGAACGACTGGAAGCTAAAGAATGCTAAAAAAAACAAGCCGGAACTGCGCCCCCTGATTACGTCACAGGACTTCCGCTCCAGCGTGTAGCTGCTTCCGTGTTGACCCACGTTCCACGCTGCCTGCAGGAGATCCAGAAATCCAGCGAAAGAAGTGGGTTTAAAACAGTCAAGATGAGGCCGTTAACAGAAGAAGAGACGAAAACCATGTTTGAGAAGCTGTCGAAATAGTAAGTGAACGTGGAGGACATGTTTGTGTCATGTAGTGAGACTCTAATTGTACCAGAAACACGAGCATGCTGGTCTGTGAGCGCGTGTCCGTGTGTGAGATCCGCGTCTTTTCTCATCCACAGCATCGGTGAAAACATCAAACTGCTCGTGGACAGACCGGACGGCTCCTACTGTTTCAGACTGCACAACGACCGAGTCTACTACATGAGGTGATGTGGGACAGCTTCACACGAACGGTGTCTTTTCCGGTCAGATATATTCAGACATGGTGCAGTTAATCGTTTTCCCTGTTTTTCTTTTTTCCGCAGTGAGAAGATTCTGAAGTTGGCCACAAACATCTCCCGGGACAAGCTCGTGTCAGTGGGAACTTGTTTTGGAAAGTTCACAAAGACCGGCAAGTTCCGGCTGCACATCACTGCTCTGGACTACCTGGCACCCTATGCAAAGGTGACTGCTCCATCAAACTGTCTCTCTCCTCAGCTGCTGTCATTGGAGTTTTGATTTCGACATGCACTCATAAAGCGTGACAGTACAAATACATAGTGAAGTGACACTGTTCTTTTTAGCTGAGCGGATATTTGGATTGATGTTAAAACACAGACAGCAGCACCTCTGGATCATCTGTCACCACAGCTGTAATCAACAGTTATTTTCACTGTCAATGAATGTGCTGGTGATTGATAGATTTTTTGGGGGCCAATGAACACCCCCTTGTTTCACCGTCTTCCACACTAGTGTGATGATAAGTTGCCAGCCACTGGCAGATGTGAGTGATCACCAGCAGATGTGGGGACATATCATCAGTTTTTGTGCCTGAGCAACATCAGGTGTTTTGGGCTTTTAATGACAAGACACTCTCTTCTAAGGCAGGTCCACCACAGGATGATCAGACCTGAGTGTGTGTCTCTAGCATCTTGGGGCCCAGTTGGGGTCTTTCCTTCTGATCCAGAGCCATTGGCTGCAGCGTTCTGCAGTCTGTGATGGTTGTTTTATGGTCTGGTGCTGGGCTTGTCTGTGGATTCCTAGATCTTTGAGCAACCTGGTGGTTGATGTTGCAATAAAACCACTGCAGCCAACCTCCACAGGATGAGCTATTGCTTTCCAGACACGTTGTTCTGCCTCAGATGCCATTTCTGCACACAGCAGTCTCTTCCCCTCATTCGCCTCATGAACAGCATGCTCCCAGGGTACTGTCAATTCTACTAAGTAGGCGTAGTCTAGTTTTAGGGGGGTGGAGACAATTTGTGATGGGACTACAAACTGCTGGCTTACATCCACCAGCATGTCAGTATTCAGTTAACAGTATTCTGGAGTCCAAAATGTGTTTTTTCTCTCAATCAACTGCTAAACTCAAGTATTCATTTTGGAATCTCATCCTGACATTGCAGGAGCAGATACATACATTTTGACACTGTAGCTCTATGAATGTTTGTGATATCTAGGTTATTTGATTAGTAAAAGTACGTGCCAGCTGACTAACCATCTATTATCACGAGCTCTGGGTGGTGAAAAAAACAGGAGCCCAGACACAAGATGATTAAATGAGTTTGGTCCAGAGGGCGGCTGGGCTCAGTCATTAGAGATATGGAGTAAAGAGTTCAGACAGAGTGTTCCAAGTTCTTAGCGAGCTCAGAGTAGAGCCTCTGCTCCTTCATGTCATGTTCAGGCATGTTGTGCGGATGGTTCCGGCAATGTCATGAACACTTCACTTGCTGCCACCACGATCCGATCTCAGACAAGCAGAAGATGAAGATTAGGATGAAGACTGACGAACAGTTTTAGCTCCTTTCTCCGTCTGTATGCACGGAATTTTACTGGCACGATCCTCTATTGTGTGCTTTGTAAAGATGCCACTGATGCACCAGTGATTATCATCTGCATGTCAGTTGATGACCTGCGGTCGTAATAATGCCACCAAAAAAGGGAGGTGCTGCCTGTCTCTTTTATATTAGTTTATGTTTGAGTTTATTTCCTGTAACTTTGTTGTTAAGACAGAAACACGGGCAGAGGACCAGCATGGGGTTGGGTTAATTAGGTCTAACGTTGACAACTGAAACCCAGAAAGCCCTTTAAAATAATGAACACGTGACTCAAGTAGGAAGAGCTGGTCCTGGTTTTTCTGAGCAACTACGTACATCCTGCATCATGACACTGATCTCTTAAGCTTACACCTGCATCTTCACCACTGATCATATTCTGGAGTTGCAATATTAGTTAACGGAATTGTCACAGCCCTATATCAATAGAGGTAGTGTATTTACCTTCTGGGTATGTGATGATGAAACAAACATTTGTGTTGAACTAAAATCTGTGCACCTGAACTCAACTTACCAGTTTATTTTTTTCACCAGTTCAAACATTTCCTTACTGACTAAAATACGTCAGATGAACGTCTGCATGTATGAATAACGTGAACCTCCTGGTTGTGTCTTCAGTTCAAGGTGTGGGTGAAGCCTGGAGCTGAGCAGTCTTTCCTCTATGGGAACCATGTGCTAAAATCTGGACTTGGGAGAATCACTGAGAACACTGCGCAGTATCAGGGAGTTGTCGTCTACTCCATGGCAGACGTGCCCCTGGTAAGTCTTGTAACAATGATAAGATTTTGATAGTATCGCTGTAGTCACTGATGCTGCACGTCACGGTATGACCAACATACTTCAAATAAGAGCTCACTCTGCACCATTAAGTGCCACGTGTGGGCTTCTGTGCCATGTCCCTCCTGAATTGAATGCATCTGCCCATTCACAGTAGACAATACCATATCTTATGAGGTAAACTCAGGCTATCTTGGAATCATATTCTGCCAAATAGATTGAACTTTTTCTCCTCCACCAATGAGATGTCTGAACCAGTTGTGTCATTTCTCAGGGTTTCGGCGTCGCAGCCAAGACGACACAAGAGTGCCGGCGGGTGGACCCCATGTCCATTGTCCTGTTCCACCAGGCTGATGTGGGAGAGTTTATCAGGAATGAAGATACATTAACATAAACATGCACAGAAACACAGGACTGTCAAACTTTCCTTTTCCAGTAACACATAGAAACAAACACCTGTATGGACTGACCTTGTGATACCAGCTAATCTGCAATCAACATGATCCCTTGGAGAGCCCGTCTTTTCTAAATTTGTGAAAATGAAGCAGAAGGCTTTTTTTCTTTTGTAAATGTCATCTTTCCAATAAATCCACTGTCTTTGTATTTATTCTAGTCTTGGTGTGCTCGCTACTGAATACAGGTCTGCAGAGAAAGAAGAAACCAATCTTACAAATTGAAATCAAAGTTTATTCAACTCATTTGACTGGAACTGTACAAACATCTGGCATGATGCTGGGAAAAAGAAATAAGTCATGAGTATGTTGAACAATAACAATCCACTTCGTGGGATTAAGTCATCTAGAACTTTAGATCTGGTTTAACTTCTTCAGTGTTCTCCATCTGTCCTTGAGGTTGACGTTTGTTCGACCATTGAAGGGGTAATTTGTCTTTATCCTTGTCCAGTTCCCCTCTCCAAATTTTGCGACCCCTTCTTTCAACATCTCTGTCTCCCTTTCAGTCCATTTCTGCAATACAACAGGAACATGTGGTCACATTTTTGCTGCCGTGACACAAAAGTCAAAAAAACAAGCATGAATGCTTTTGTTTAAGTTCACATTATGATTGTCAAAGTGAACCGTGCTTTACAAAGCAGCTGGGCTGAAACAACTTCTTGAACACGAGAATCAACCATGTTATCCTTTTTATAGCTTTCATGATTGTTTATTTTCACTGTCTGAAGGGACATAATGAAATTAATTTGACCTTTGAGAATAACAAATGCAAGCTTTAGTATGCTTACCTTCTTCCTGTGGCCCGAATTTGAAATGGTGCTCTCGTGCAACCCTTCAGAGGAAAAACATAATATATGACTACATGAACATGACTGTCACAACTACATTTACACACAAATCATCTGAGGTGGGTAAGGTGATGAAATATTCCCACTGTTATTTCTGGAGGGGAAATTAGTTTCTTCATCGCTCCACGTTTCCTTAGTCTCCTTTGCATTACTGTACAGTTGTTTCCTATGAACAGGACAGAGGTTGTGTTTCAGTGTTTGGCACCCTGATTCATAATGGTCATTCAAAAAACAAAATTGGCTAATTTACTATTATTTAACTGGAGGAAATATTGGTCAAATCTGTGTATGTTTGGTTAGTAAGTAATATTTAATGATTTAAAGTTTATGTGATTTCTAAACATCCTGATGAATACTATGACGGACACAAACGTATATCTTGACCTTGGGAATTTGGAAAAGTGTATTCATCAAAATGGCTTCAAAAATCAAATGAATTATCTTTAACATTCCTTTAAAATATTTTTGTTTTGTTAAATCAACTGGGAGCGGGAGTGAACTGGTGTAAGCATAACTACCATTTTGAATGGGAAGGGTCTTTATCTTTAGCGGAGTCCTTGTGCGGAGTGGAGCTGGTCTGAGGGAGGGGGGGACGAGGGAACACCACACTGGGCGAGCTGTCCGAAGACTCTATGTTGTATTCCACGGCATCTTGTCGATTGCTGTGTAAAAAAAGTTTGTCAGAGGTTTTTAACCCTCCAATCACGGAGGCAATCGAGCTGCTTTCAAACATGCACAGAAGTCCACACATTTTATCATGAAATGTTCCAGATGGGTTGATGTTAGCAAATGTCCAAGTCAGCTGCTCTGGACATTTCCCAGTCCCTTAGTAGAATGTCAGAGTGAGCTAATGTCAGAATACAGTAGGAAAATGTCCAGAAAATTCCTAGTGAGCAGGAGTGTTGATGACATTTATAACATGGAACTGGAAACTGGAAGAATACAAATATCTCAGGATAAAACGAGATTCAACAGCTTTTGGCGATACAGACGGACGAAGGTTTCAAAGTGCTGCAAACAAAAACGCTGCTTTGCACAGTCATTTCCTGCCTCCCTCAATTTCTGTTCAGGCGCCACCTCTCTCCTGAATGTTCTTGAAATGTTCCTGTTTTTGGGAAAGTGTCTAAACTGGACAATCTCCTGCTGTGTTCCTGTGAAAGGCAAGGTCTGGGAAATGTCACGCCCCAATTTTCTGGATTCCTTTTATGAAAACAGCTAAATGTATCTGGACTTACCCGGTGAGAGAAACTCTGGACTGTTCAGTTTGCTCTGGGGTTCTGAAGTAGGCAGAAGTCTCATGTTGGTCTTCATCACCGTGTGGGTCTTTATCCCCATCTAATGATTCGACTCCACCTTGTGACTTGGGGGAGTTGCTGCATTACGAGAGTGGAGTCAAACATTACACAAAGGGAAATAGATCTGTTTCGACTGAAACTATTATTTTCTCTTTAAGTAAATCAAATGTAGTCACCGTTGTTTCAAACTTACACAAAGTGTACTGAAGATAGCAACATAAAGTGGAATAAAACATGAACCACAACTAACTTAACCACAGCAACAACATTGATCATTTAAACTACTAAGCTTGATTGAGTTTAAATGATGACGTGTTGCTATCAGAGACTAAACTGAAATTGTTGCATCACAATTATAGTGACAACAATTATCAAGGTTATTCATATTATCAAGTATTATTAAAAAGTTAATAAATATTATATCCATTATCAATAGCAATAATATATAACAACACTATATTAAATATGCAACATTAACATTGAAGGAGGAAGGTTGACTTAAGTTGTTTTGTTTTACAATGAAAACTTCCCAATATGCAGGTTTGAATATAACCTTACATTTTTTTTTAATGTGCATAAAAAACAACACAATTATGGGCAGAATATGTAAATATAACTATACGACCAAATCGGATGATATAAAACACAAAACTTAAATGAAGGAGAGAAGCTAACCATTTCATTCCTTCATTGGTGACAAATGAGCTTTACAAATAGCTGAAAGTCTTGATACAACCAGAGTATTTTGGTACAATTAGTCAGTATTGCAGGTTAAGGTCCATCAGGTCTAAAACATTCAGATTTACCTCCTGAGTGAACTGTTGGACTGGTTCTGGGTTTCCACCACAAAACTTTCTTTGTTGGCCTCAGAGGCAGGGAGGTCCTCCTCGCTGTCTGTTGACAACACTGCAAAACTCGTCGAGGCTCTGAGGTGACAGAACAGTGTGTTAGTGACCGACACTCACTGAGGAATACACAAGCACATGCAAACTACTTATGATGAAGTGATGTGGTGTACAAGGACCAGGTGAAAAAAACTCAATCTACATCATGAGACTCTGCATACAAATCATTTTCCATTTATATTAGGCAATTTCCTTAAGAAAATATTCAGAAATATTTAAGTCATTGATACTGCTCTCAGTATAATGGGATACTACTACAAAATATGAATTAATTCTTCTATTGTACAACTTGTTTATTTCAGAGCTTGTAGACTTTGAATGTGTTTTAATGAATGTACCATTTTAATGAGTGCATGTATTGTAACACGCTACTCTGATACATCATAAACTTATCTCATGTTCAGACAGGACACACAGTTTGAGCTGCATACATTTATTATTTACCTGCTGCGATGACGTATGCGCTTCTTCCTGGAGGGTCTGGTGACCTCGTTGTCTGTCAGTGGGCTCTGCGAGGCGTTCTTATTGGCTATAGTCGAGGACTGTGGTGACTCCACTTCAAGGACTTCAGCATCTAGCTCCTGCGAAGTCACCGTGCACTGTGAGCTCGATTGGCTGTCCGGCTCGACAACCAGTCGTGCCACAGTGTAAAGCCGCCTGTTCCTCAGTGGTGGTGAGGTTGACTTTGTGAGTGAACCTGCCTGTGTCTGAGGAACAGCATCCGTTTGTGGGGGGTGGTCTGCTACTGAAGCCTCCATCGGGCTGCCCGAGCCTCTCTGAAACACTCCGTCCTGCTCCGAGTCCAGACTGGTACCCTCCTTGAAACTGGGTGACAGGCGCAGAAGAAGGTTGTCTGTTCTTTCCTGCTCCTCCCTCTCAACCTCTTCCTCCAGCTGAGCGAATGTCCTCTTATCTGATCGTGGAGCCAGCATCTTGTAAGCTGCCTCCAGTCTGGTCCTCTGGATAATATTATGGTGACTGGGAGATAAGAAAGAGACAAGAAAAGGAGCTTGAAGTGGATGCTTGAGCCAAAAAATAATAGTCTGGCATTTCCAGACAATCTAATGATTTTGACTTTGTGATATCAAATTGATGCTGTGGCCCTCCCTCGTAGTGCGTATTGAAAATTATACTGTCAGCAAGAAGATGCACAGCAGAGAGAGTTGGTGGAGACAGAAATCTTTGTGCCACACGTGGCCTTAATAACTTGTTAAGTGATTCTTAACAAAGATTTATTTTCTTTATTCTTGTAAAATTATTACTTTATTCTTGTGATATTAATAGAAGAAATTTCAGAATAGTTTTTCTTCATAAGGCCCTAATACTTGTGTACAGTGAGGACAGGGGTAGAGACAGCATGTTAAATTTTGTATTTTCATAATAATAATGAGCTTCTATGAAAAGAACTGAAGTTAGCAGGGAGGGAAGGAGAGCATCTACCATGACACAAACAGGACGCCGTTTATTTGTGCAGTAGATGACGGGCCAGGTTCCTCTTGCTCATCAGGTCTAGCTGCATTGTCTTCCTGCTCTGCAAGTCTTGTATCAATCAGCTGTTTCGCTGCCTGGTAAACACAAACAAATTAAAAACACAACAAATTATCAAAAAATGTACTTGCCCGACAAACCATCTGTGTCATATCTGTGTATTGGCTGAAAAAATGTTAATGGGATAGTTAACAGAAAATTAAATCATTATCGTTACCATCGCTACTTCCTGTGGTGGACTTTTAGGCTTAAAACTTGGTGCGACCTTGTTTCGAGTTGAATATGCTTGCGGACACTTGGATGACACCACATGAGCAGTATGGAGGCATTTTCTGTTTTTTTCTCATTTATTATGTCTGAAGAATCGGTCCCCAGTTCAGTTGTATTGGATTTGGCTGCAATGTTGTTTTTCCCTGAAACTCCAAAAGTGTCACCCACCCTTTCATCAGCGTAGTGGTGAGTGGATAATGAGTGAATTTTCATTTTTCAGTGAACTATCCCTTTAAGGTTAACTCAGGCAAAAGGTTTCTTAACGAGCCCAAATCAAAAATATTTTCACAATGCATGCAAATAAACTTAAGTGTTGTTGACAAATCATCTTCTAGTGATGACAAATTTCAGTTCAAATACGTCATCAAAAATGTTTTGTCTTCATCTTGTGCTGAATACACAGCAACACACCTTGTGCAGAAAAGGAACGGTGCACGGGCAGAGCCTCTGGCAGAAGGCTAACATCTCTTTCTTGAACTGCCGGAAGTCGATTCGCTGGATGACTTCATGTGTTTTACTCCTCTGATTGATGAGACCCATGAATATTGCTTTCTAGGACACAAGTTCAGTTATGTGAAACACAGCACACACTATACCCATTCAAACCAATTACAACAGCTTTTTGAACATTGTAGGTGAGACAACACATATTTCACATGGTTTGTAGCAGCTGTATGTTGTGTCACTACAAACAGAATTAATCTCCTCCACCTGCTGATTATCTGCTGATTTAACATCACACCAGCTGCCGCATTGACTGCGTTTACATGCACACTGGCATCCCTGTTATGAGGCTCATTCTGGTTTTGATTATATTTGGGATATACAGTGTTTGAGAAATCTGGTGTTTCACATCCCCCTATACATGATAAGCAAAATAAAGTTACCTGGTTACTTATTACTGTCAGCTGTTTGCACAGGCACCTGGGATGCCTACGCAAACAACTAAGTTACCGTGGTTACAACAACAAAGCCTACTGGCAATTTTGACTCCTGAATAGTGGCTATTGAAAATGAAGCCGCTTTAATTTATGTATACATGTACCACTATCCCGGTTACTCACAGAGTGCTCCAAGAAGTAAAATCTGGTTTCACAAAACCAGGATAAGGGTTCTTGGGGATATGACGTTACGAACTGCTTTAACACAAAAACTGGATACTTCCAAAAACTGATAATAATCAGGATACAACCTGCATGTAAACATAGCATGATTAATGTACATATGACACTTATATCCTAATTCAACTCACTGAAATGCTTGAGCTACTGAGTGAACATGATGTTAGTGGACTCACCTTGCCAACCATTGGATTGGGAAAGTGCTTGGTCAGCATCTCTTTTGCTTTGTCAAATTTATCGGCCTTGATGAGAATCACCACGATCTGAAGACAAATCAATTAGATACATTTTGCAGCACTGGCATCAGAATTCATACTGTTTTGCTTTTGATTTGAGAAGGAAGGCTTTTAGTGGAAATTAATGTAAAAGTTGAACCAGTGGAGAACATAAGTAAGCAATATGTTTTTTGTTTTTTTTTACCATCTCTTTAACTGAATTGCACACATTCTCAAACTCCTGCTGTGGGATGCTGCAGTCCTGGCTCATGCCTTGAAGCAACATTAAGGCTGATTCCAGAGGAGTTATAGACTCAGATGACACATCTGCAGGTAAAAAAAAAGCAATGTTCACTGAGGTGTCAAGTTACAATGAACTAGTCGAACTGAATGGATGCTGAACTGCTTGAATTCCATTTTACACTTGCAAATTCAATGTGTCTAATACTGCAGGGCTGATCTCTCCTTTTTAATGTTACACTTGATTAATCGGTGTAGTTTTTGTGTGCAATATAACTTAAAATCAGTGAAGCAATACTCTCACTGATAATATCTGCAAATTCACAAAACGTTGTTTGTGTGCACAAAGGATCTGTGTGTTGGCACGAGAGAGAGCAAGCGGACGGAAAAGGTGCTGGATGAACGCAAGCAGCTAATGAAGAAAGATTTGGTATAAAGTGATTCAAACAAATCAACATACTGACACTGAGAAGCACAAATATGTTTAAACTGAAGGAGTTCAGAGGACGTCAGCAGAGTGTTGGTTCCTTTGTATGTGGCCCGTAAATGCAGTCACGCAGCAAATGTAGCCACATGTGTCACAGACTATACCTCCCCATATGGGCTGAGTGATCACATCTCAGGAAGCATTGAGGACACAATAGGCTGCAATCAATCGGGACAGATGTTAATGCCAGGTCTGCATAGGGTCTATGTTGCCTGTAGGTGTAGAAGGAAGAGCTGGAAGGCGTGGCTTGGGGGAGGGACTGCTCAGATACCCTACGTGGCCAGCTACCTCCGTGACCCGAGCCCGGAAGACAATGGATGGATGGATAGATTCTGGCATGGGCCAAGTTCTAATATCCTATACTATGTCCAAATAGATAATGATAAAAATAGATGTAGATAGATTAAATTCCAAACAAAATGAATTGTTGGCAAAGTTGCTGAGCTCAGGTGCCAGGGGGATTGCATCCAGTCTCACCGAGTCTTTCACCCTCATTTATCCGGGAGAGAAACTGCAACACACGGATCTTTGTTGGCAATGAATCAGTGGATTCCAGAGACCGAACCAAGACACCTGTGACAAGACAATGAATGCACAGGTCACCTCTACTGAATACACACATGCGCAGTAAATAATACACACACTTCGATATGGAAGATCAGCAGGATGTACAGGAACAGTCTGTGAAATCAGCCAGTGGACTACAGCATTCATTTCTGCGCAATCAATGTACAATCCGTTTCACTGAATATATTCTCACATTATTCTGTCATAGATCTATAAACTATTTCAACACGTTTTAATATTCCCCTTGCATTTGATGTTACTTTACTGTATCTCATTTTATACTGTGACACAAAACCTCACTGTCAGTCTGAAAAGCTGAGCGCTGGACATGACGTAACTGTGAATATAATTTCTAGTAAAATGAATGTGTCGCTTTATGTTTACGGGAAACCAAACAGACTCAAAGGCAGCTTGAGCCATGTCGCAAAAGTTGATGAAAAACATCACAACAACAGCAGCAACGTTAAACTCCCATCAACAAACCACGAGCTAGCTGTGTATCTAAGCTAGTTGCTAGACACTGCTCGGGGCTGTTGGCGACACCGTGAATATAAAGTATATTTGATAAGACACAGTAAACAAACGGGAAACAAAACACAAGGGGAAAGTGAAGCTGTGGTCACACCTGGACCAAACAAAGTGCAGCTCTGCGGGGAGCGGGAGCTCAACATGGCAGCCAGGAGCTCACTTACTGTCGAGGACATGTTTGATGCTGCAGAAGTCTCTGAGCTGCTCCTGGTCAAACGCCTGCAGAGCCAGGGACAGGTAGTAGTCGACTATCCAGCGGTTGACGATGCTCTCCACCTCGGTCCTCACACCGTCCGTGCTTCTCTTTGCCGCCATATTCACATCGTGTCAGCGGAAGTGCAGCCGCGTTCACTGCGCAGCGGATGACGTAAAGGAAGGGGGGGGGGGGAAGTGGGAGCTTCTGTTCCCTTGGTTTAGTTTTTCAGGGTCACGACAGTAGGTATTTACAGGCGGAGAAAATACAAGAATGATGATTTTATATCGTGGAATCAAGAATTATTATTAGTATTTGTTTTGCTCAACATTTAGGACACATCTCGAGGCTTTTAGAAAGCGTGCGGCCTGAGAGTCTGCACTCAGGGATTATGAACCCTTCCCTGAGTTGATTGGCAGATCTCACCAGAAGGAAACACCACACCGCCACCTACTGGACAAAATGTTGTTTCTTCTCAAAGGTTTTGATTGGGGTTTTATTATTTATGATGACGTTCAATTTGATTTATATCGTTATATGTGTTTTACAAGTATCAAGTACGTTTTGTTCAATCATCATTGCAATTTCGGTGCTAAACACATTGTTGTAATATCTTCATCAACGCTGTTTTTATTTTAATGTTCAGGGTTTGATTTATAGCCTGTGCTTTGTGATATTCCTCATCCCATAAGTGGAATTCAAAAACTCTCTCTCTCTACATAGAACATTATTACCTCCACAAAGGTTATGTTTTCACCACTGTCTGTTTGTTTGTGAGCAATGAGTGTGTGAAAAGTGGTGCAGCTTGACTAGATTGACTAAAAGAGGAATGTTGATGGAGGTATAGACTCAGTGCCACTCGTGTTTTATATTAAGTTGCTCATTCTCATAGAGGCAATCATTTTCTCCAGATTTATACTACATCTTCTGATAGATAAAATGGTATCAGAGTATCAGAGTTAAACCCACAACACTTTCTATTATATCCAGAAACAAAACTCAGGAATAGAACATAAGTTATAGTAAATTATGGACAATCAATCACAATCTATGACTTTAATCAAGTTTATTATGCAAAAGAATGACATTAAAGATAGAAGACATTGTAAGATTGTGAGACATTAATTAAAAAAGCTTGAATAAAACATTCCATTTATATACTGTTAATAGTAACTTTTATAGTTTGTTTATAAAGCTGAAGGACTTTTGTTCTGGATGAAATAAAACCTTTTGCACCTTCTCATGGCAATGTTGGTAATGATGGTAAATCTGTGGTTAAACCTCCAGCCTGTTAAAAATCACTACTATATATCACAAAATGCTCTTTATCTGAGAATTTTGGCACAAAAATCCCAAACTAGTGACAAAAACCTTTCGACAGAGTAGTGTTGAATTGGTTTACAAAGTTTCACATGTCCTACAGCTCTCTCCATGTTAATTGTTGTTTTACTTAGGCAAACAGCAAAGTGGAGAATCACTCAAAATACACGTACCACTATAACCCTTTAAAATCATCATTAATTTATTCTATTGCTGAATTTCAAACCACATACCCTGTTACAGAATCCCACCTCAAGACATGATGATTTAACATGTGAGTTTGGTCATGAAGCACAACTATCCCATAGTGAAGTAGTTGCTAATATCAATCAAGCCAAGTCAAATATTTTAAACCATTCGTCACATAATATGAATCCGTTAGCTCTGAAACCTCCAACAAATATAAGTTAAAGTTAGGCTGTGTGTTACTCCTGCCACTGCTACATTAGTCAGGGCTCAGATATTTTCTTGTAGTGTAAAGGCATTTTGTGTTTATCAGTTAACGGCCTCTGAGTGGCTCTGGATGTAGTTTTACCATTAATACTATTCATTTCACAGCGGTCGATTTATCAGCGGGATATGGGTGCATCTGCAAAACTTAACAGTATGATTTATTTTTGTCGTTTTCTGAGAAGCCTTAAAATACAATACAATCTGTCTAATGCCTATGATTTGTACGTGTGTTAAAAAGTACACTGAGTATCTTAGGACAAGGGACTTGCTGAATACTGACACAGTATGACACTGCTTGAGCAGGAAAGTGATTCTCCAACATGTATATCCAGACAACAGAGGGGATGCAGTCTAGCAGAATAAACAGGAAATAAGAGGCCAGCATTAATAAAATCCCCTGATATCAGTTAGCTTTCAGCGACGTGTCCCTTAGTCCCAAAATATTGAACTGTTACATTCAAATGACAGCATATGTTTAAAAGCTATCAGATATCATCATTTAGTGTAAACAGAGGAGTTTCTTCTCCTGGCGACCACAGATGAGAACAAACAGCAATATATTGTCCAACACGCCATAAAAAAAAGAGACTTTTGAGAATCTTGATTTGACAACACTTCGAAAATACCGGCCTGTAAGTCAGGACTTGCCTTTAAATCTTGAAACTCCTGACTTAAAAAGCCACATTCATCCAGTGCAAACAGGCCCATGACTTATGCAGAGTAAAAAAACAGGGGATTTAGTTGTCACAAAGTGAGAAAACACTTTCATAAATATGGCAATAACAAAAATCTTTCAAGCTAATAAAGTCCCTTGACAGAATGATTTTGAAGGCATGGATTAAGTGTCCTAGCGACACTGGGAGGGTATCTGCTTCTGTCGTGCCACATGATGCCACAGGCCCAATATTTCTGGAGTCAAGTAGGAAAGGCCTCACAAGCATGTGCTGAGCTCACAGAGACTTTGTTCAGTATTAGAGAGTTTGTATAATGAGCCCTGTACCTCAGCCTCTTTCAGCAAAGCAGCTCCTTTATAATTCTACAGGCTACACAATGGAGCTTGGCTCTGTGGATAAGAATGAGCTCACCACGAGCCAGAGGAGGCCGTACAACTATTTTAAATTCTCTTTTTTTCCAAAATGTTGAACCCTTCGTTGGCCAAGGAGCAGGCTAAGCAACCACGTCCGAGACTTGGCTCTGAATTGAGGTGGGGGTTGTCGGGTTGTTTTCCACGGTTTAAATGCTATGAAGTCTTACTGATCTCTCATGCGGATTCCTACTACACACAGACAGAGCTTCCAGTTTTCCACACAGAACAAAACTGTGTAGAAATAAAACCATTATAACTTCATAACATTGAGTCTTTTCAGCAGCCAACGTAGTTTAACCTGAATCACTTGGTTGTATATAAAAAACATAGCGAGGAGTATCATTGGTCTGTGGGTCACCCACCACTTGTAGACAGTGAGACGTGAAGCAGCATGTAAGAGCAGTGGAATGGAAAACTGACCACACGTATATGACTAATACAAAACTGTGATATTTCCCCCCCGCCACATGAATATTTAGAATAACTGTCATCATCCCTAGTGATTCATTAAGGTCAACTGCCGAGGAGTGGTCACTGTGATGAAGCTTACAGAAGCTTCAGCAGGTCAAAAAAAAAAAGAAGGAGAATTAATTTATACTGACTTGATTTACATCTAAAAATATTTCAAGCAGAGGCAGGAAAACTGATGGAGGAGATGAACAGATAGGAAAAGCCACCCAGTCCTCTTGACTAAGAATGAGGCTTGTGTTCACAGTTACCTGTTCATTGATTTGAAGAGAGTAAAAAGTCTCTTTTCCTGGCAGAGATACTGACTGATTGAGCTGTCATACATGCAAATCAAGGCAGAACAGTATAATTCAGGATGTCCATGGTGCTCCTTGTCCAGGCTGCTTTCTCAAGAGTCATGTGAGTGGTGCATGTCCTTCACTGCCATCCTCTTGTCTGGGTCAGACGCAACACTTTCAAGTATTTTCCCCTCTTGATTCACTTGTCTGGGTCCAGTGATGATGGAGGATATATTGCTGATCCCTCCCTAAAAAATCCAAACACTAATCTTGAATCTCGTGTGCGTAGCAGCGAAGACAAACTGCTGAAGTTGTGTATTGAAGGTACATAAGTTGAGTTGAAACAGCAGCTCGGATGGTCTCACAAGGAATAAAAGACTCACTTGTGTTACATACTGCATGCTTATCCAAAAAAACACAAACAAACCAGAGAGCTGCTTATGTTAAAAACAATATTCCAGTTGTTTAGCAGACTTGTGCAGACCAAAGGTTTTGGGTCTACGTCAGCATGTTAGAGTGAGAATCCCAGCTCTCAGTGGTGGTCGATTGATTCACTGGGGTCCGACTGGTGCAGCCAGTCTGCCTGACACCCACAGATGAGAGGCAGGTTCAGGGAGCAGTGGTCCATCTAAGCCCCAGACCAGGAGAGGGCGTACAAGAAATCTAGCTGTAGGGAGGATCAAGTGTTGGTGAGCAGGATTAGACTGAAAACTCAGACCCGCTGCGGCGACTGTGGGTCAACAGCAACACGCGCCGCAGACGCAGGCCTGTGAAGGGATTGCACCATAGCAAAGATGGTGGACCCCCAAACACAGATTTCATTCCGTCCCATCTCACGTGACGCTCCCATGTGGGCTTCTCGTTTTTAAGACGTTCAATCTCCTGCAAGACATTTAAACAGGTCTGTGAACAAAATATTCTTCATCAAGTTAGCAATTTGCTTTAGCTCATTTACCTAGTAAGATACACAATTACATTAACATGGGAAAGGGCATTGGGACAAGCCAGAGAAGAGCTTAGGCACGCACAAACACAGGAACACACACACTTGAAGAACCAAAGGCATTTATCAGGACTAAGAACACAGCCAAACATAAAGGTGCCAGCGAACAAAGAGAGAAAGCTATGGGGGGGGGGGGGGGGGGGGGGGGTACAGTAGATACTGACCGTCTCGTCATTGCAGATGGAGTGGATCTGTGTACCAAACATTACGGCTGTGAAAGTGAGAAAGAGGATGGCTTCGAGACAGAGGAAGATGAGGAGCAGCACAGACACCCCTGGAGAGAAATCACTGCACTCTGATCAGAGAAAGAGAAGACAGGTTTTTTAAACAACTAAAATATCAACAAAAAAAACATAGACTAAATAAACAATTCATCTTGAAGATGAAATATCCCAAAGGCCAAATAACCTCAAAGCCAAAATAGACAAAAGGGTGAAATCCTGCCAAATGGGTCACAAACTGACATGTTGCCTCCTTAGGTCCAATACAAGTTACTGGTATGTTCCCTCATTGCTGTCTAGCTGATGTCACAGCCTGACCTAAGCATGGGACTGGATGTGCACACAGTAACTTTATTTCA